CGGCTCGGGCTACGAGCAGCAAGCAACAGCTAAACCTACCGCCGAGGGTCAAGAATTTGACGCCGGCTCCCGCTGCAAACAACCCACGAAAACTGGACCGTCAAAATTCAGAACGGGCTCGTCAACAAGCGTAAGCGAACCCGAGTTCGGGCCAAGGGGCCCTTTGGGGGCGCGGGGGGGGACCGAGCACGAGCGCGGCAGACGTTATTACCGCATCGCGTGCGGCGATCGGGGGGGAACCCAGAAGGCCCGCACCAAAGATCACTCCGGCGGGGGGGGTAATTACGTGCAGTCGCAGGGGCCCCTCCTCTCCTCGGGGGAGGGATCACGGCAGAGCGGAGGGTGTATATCATATCATATCATATCATATGTATGTTTGTATATATATATGTGTGTACATCTATATGTATATATATACACATATACGAATTATGCTACAGATGTGTACACATATAAACATGTACATACACATACCTATACGTATGTCTGTATACATACAAGCATGTGTACACACATGTATGTTGCAGGGGAGGCCGCCGCGCCGAGGGGCACTGACGCGAGGAACCTTCGGGGGCCTCCGCGGGGCCTCCCGAGGGGCAGGCTCCTCCGTGGCGCCCGCTGCCCCCACGCCCCCGGCGCCGTGCGGTTCTCGTTCGCGTCGGGACTGTTTCTCGAACAGGAGAATCATTCGCATTACAGCAGGAGCTCGACCACAAAAAACCTTCCACAAGAAACCCCACCCGTGAGACCCCAGGACGTCCACTGATTCTTGGTGTGGGAACGTCGCGCTCTCCTTAGCAAAACCATCGAAACCCAAGAAACCCAGGGCACACTGGAGGCAAGCAGGGTGTTGCTTGGCATGGTTTTCCACTGTATCATTATTTCCGGGCAGCGGTCGTTACACGGGCACGGGGGGAGGGGGCTGGGGACCCCCGGTGACGGTATCGCTTCGGCGGGGTTGGGCACTTCGGGCCGGGGGTGCGCTGCGATCGCCATCGTACGCGCGCGAGTACCATGTGGGGCGGGTGATGATATACATACAATTCGTCAGGAAACAAATCCCGACGAATAATTTTTGGTTCAGCCTCCAGGGTCGCTCGCCAGACCCCAGAGCCGTCAAGGGTAACTCGGGATGAGAAACCGGACCCGTGGAAAGGGTCGGGACTTCTAGGGAGCCCAGAGCCTTCAAGGGTAACTCGGGATGAGAAAGCTGCCCCGGGGAAAGGGTCGGGACTTCGCATGAAAAATTGAAGACGCCGCATGTCTGGGACGTGGACAGGTCTGGGTTTTGACCCCCCCTGACGGGTCGGACGCAAGGGCGGGCTGGTAGAGCGAGAGGTTAGCGAATCGGCTCACGTGGCTGGTTTTCCCGGTGCCTCCCAGCGCCGGCGTGGCGGCAGAGCCGACTCCAGCCGCGCCCCCCTTTCCTATCTCCCCCCCTGGGAGACCTCCCAAGTGGGGTCCGATTAGAGGGACCGCGCAGCATCGCCGATGCATTGGCAGCGACGGCGCGGACAAGATCGGGCTCCTCATCGATCCGCATCGGCGATGCATCGGCGATGTGGCGATGTGGCGCGATCCTCCGACCATCTACTCGGACCTCATTCGAAAGGCATGGACCCTTTCGTCCGCCCCGACCCTACCCTGGGACCGGTATGTCATCCCGAGCCGTTTCTCTTACAGCCCCCGGGGGACCCGAAGCAGCCCCCGAAGGCAGACAATTACGTCCTGCGGATGGCCTGTGGCGCTCTTGGTTCCGAGTCGCCAGGGGGTCGATGTTCGAGGGGCCAAGCACTCGAACCTTATGAGGAAATCCTGGAGACCTCGCGCGGTAACTTGAGACCAAAAAATACGTCGGAACTTACGTCGGAGCATCGTCTCCGTCGCCACATATCTTACAGAGCGGACGCGTGGACTAGATGATACAACTATTGCGCGCCGCGCGAGGCCTCCAGCACATCCTCAGAGCTAACCCCAATTGGCCTCGTCAAGGAGCAAAACTAACTTCCGCTCGGTGAGCCAATCAAATCAGCCGTCGCAGAGTGTCACCCCAAATTCTGCTTCTGCATGAGCTTGATATCTTGCCCACGCGCTGGACGGTATATAACTTCGAGAGAACCAACAAGATAGAGATCAACATTCGAAGGTCCGCGGGGATTTCCTGGATCGGTGGTGGATCCCCCTCTCTGGCGCCGATGCAAAATATCCGCGCGGACTGCCGGAAAGTACTGTTTATGATGTGTTGAGAGTTGTGGCTTGTTTATACTGTTCCGAAAGCTATGCTTATGCTTCCGGCTTCCGTCTGCTGCTCTCCGTGTTCTGAAGTAGTGAAGGCGTGAGTGGCTATGTAGAGCTCTCATAAGGCGTTCTGGCCAGGCTTTCGAAGCAGGCCCAGCCGCAGCGACGGAGGAGCCCAAGAGGCGCAGAGGACGCCCAACTCCCAACAAACCCTCGAGCCTCCTCCATCCACGACGAAGGGGGCCGACCCCCCCCCCCACACCTCGATGTAGAACATCGAAATCCTGACCTGGAGCATCTTGACCCCCAGGCCGATGAACGCCTTGCGCTGCCTGCGCCAAGCGGCCACTCCAGGAAGGATGGAAACCCTTGCAAGACCAGCGAAAAAGGGGGGCAACGAGCGACCCAGGCTTGCTTGGTCAAGGCTCTTCCCAGAGAGGAACACTCCTGACCAAACCTTGGAAATACACTTTTCTTTGGCCACAGAGGTCCGATGTTCTTTTCCCAAGACCAGCATATCATCCTGAGTTGTTGCTTCACGGTCCTACGGCCCAGTGGATCTGCGCTGGCCCCCTCCCTGGCGCGCGGAGCGCGCCAGGGGCGGCGCCGGAGGCGCCGCCGCGGGGGCCCAGCGCAGATCCAAGAAACCCGCGCGGAAGCGCCAAAAGCGTATGTTTGCGGCGCTTGTTCTCCTTCGATTACTCTCTCCATCTGATGGATCTCAGCGGTCTGGTCAGGGCTCTGGGCCGCCTGGCACTCGGCTGACGAAGGGGAGGAGACGAAGAGGAGGAGGGCCCGAGAGCGGGGCACCCGTCGGCCCAGGGAGCCGCAGCGGCGCGCCACAGCGCCAACCGCGCCCTCCCCTGGTGATGGGCTCGATTCCCCACTAGCTTGCTTCTCGCTGCTGCCTTTGCAGTCTGCTTCGACGCCCACGGGGTCCCCGTGGACACACACAAGCACAAACACAAACACACACACACACACACAAACCACACACACAAGAGACACACACAAACAAACAAACAACACACACAAACACACACACACACATACACGCACAGACACACACACACACACTCTCTCTCTCTCACACACACAAACAAACAAACAAACAAACAAATACACACACACAAACAAACAAACAAACAAACAAACAAACAAACAAACAAACAAACACACACACACACACACACACACACACACACACACACACACACGTTTTGCGTCAGCGGCTAGGCAAAGTGACTGCGCTGGCGGAAAGAGCATATGTGGGGCGTACATCTGCGAATTAAGCCACGGTGCACGTGAGGAGAGAGGAGGACAGCCCAGCGCGGGCGGGAGGGGAGGCTGGGCCCGCTCAGAGCGGCACCAAGCGGCGGCTGGGGGTCGCCGGAGCCAGGGCCAACGGCAGCGCTGGGGCAGCAGCTGGGAGGGTAGCAGCCACGGTGGCCGCCAGGGCAAGCGCCCAAGGGGGGGGGAGCGACAGGCCCAGCGCGAGCTGGAGGTGGAGGCAGCACAGCAGGGAGGCCAGGGGTGCCGAGGTCGGGATGACCATCGAGGCAGCCTGGGGGGGCGAGAGCAAAGGCAGCGGGCAGCAAGAGCAAAGGGTGCCGAGGTCACATGTGACCTGCGAGGCGCCAGGTGGGGCGCGACAAGCAGCCCCCAAGCAGCCAGGGGAAGAACGGACAGCGGCCCACCAGCCAGTGAGCGCGGGCGGGCGGGCCCAGAGAGCCGCGAACGCCACTGGCGCACCGTGGGGCCGCCCGGCCGGGTCGGCAGGGGCGGAGGGCGCGGCCAGGGCAGGGACCGCCAGGCGCCGAAGTCAGGCATGACCTACGAGGCGGCCAGGACAGAGGCAGCCAGCCCAACTTGGGGGGGGAGGCGCACGGCAATGCCCTGGCGGGACGGCTACGGAGCCAGACCCGCGAGTGCAAGCCAGACGGGCAGTGGGAGCCGAGGTCATGGGTGACATGCGAAGCCGCTGGGGCGAAACCCGCCCGCGAGTCAGAGAGCCGCCGCGCGAGTGAGCTGCCAGAGCAGTGACACAGACACACACACACACACACACACACACACACACACACAATCACACAATCACACAATCACACACACACACACACACACGCACACACACACGCACACGCACGCACACGACACGCGCACGCACGCACGCACGCACGCACGCACACGCACACGCACACGCACACGCACACGCACGCACACACACACACACACACACACACACACACACACACACACACATGCGCGCGCACACACACACACACACACACACACACACACACACACACACACATCCGATGTCTTGATTTGTTCCATAAGGGGTCGATCCCGAACCGTTTTTTGAGGGTCCTGGGGCCCAGCGAAGGCCCCCAGGGGGCGAAAACGGCCAGGTACCTTCCGTCGTGGTTTGTCCCTCATATCGTTCAAGCTTCAGGGTCTACAAGTGGAAGAAAGAGGGCCACTAAGAAGACCCACAGTTGGCACGGGGAGCCTGAGAAGACGTTCGCCGCTGGTTTCCCGTAATCGCTGTTTCGTTCGAGACGGCCTCAGAAATAAAACCATAGAGGCCGTTCCACCTGAGACCTCCTCGCAATGTATGACAACAAACAGCCTGCCGCCGAGATGATCAACAACTTTGCTATCCTTTGCTGTTATTCAGGTGGCTTGCTGGGTTGTGTCAGGACCTTGGACGTCTAGGCGCGTCGGCCAACCTCGCGGGTTCACACTCCAGGCCGCGAGCCAGTGTGATGCGCCCATTTGAAGCCTTGAGGGGCGACCAGGGGATCCAGTCCAGGAAGAGCTCGGCGCTCGCGCCACCGCGTCAGGCTGAGTGGAGATGCCCCCAGCCCACCACCCGAGCCTGGCCCACGCAATACGGCACCACGTGCAGGGCCCCAGAAACCCGGAACCGCCAAAAATGGCACCCCTTGAAGGGCGAGTTTTCCTTCCGTCGGCTTCCGCCGGCGGAGCCGCCCCTCGCCACAGCTCGGGCGTCCACTCCACGTGCGTTTGTTTCGACTTCGTGCGTGCATTTTTCGCTGGATGATCAAAGATGCTTCTCGAGGGACCTGCGCCGAGAAAGCATACCCACGGCCGAGCGACGCCGAGGCCCTCGTTCTACTTTAAGTCGGGCCTGTCCCCCTACAGGGGGATTTTCGACGAAAAATTAAAAATACCTCCAAAATAATAAAAAATAGTCCAAAAATAGTCTGGGGACTACTTTTGGACTATGTTTTGACCTTTTTGGCGTATTTTGAAAATATTTTCTCTTTTTCGTCGAAAATCCCCCTGTAGGGGGACAGCCCCGACAGAAATCTAATTACTGACCCGGGTCGATCCAGACCCGGGTCAGTCGGGCGCGGCAGGATCCTGCCAGATCCTGCAGGGATCCTGCAGGACATCCTGCGCGCAAGCCCGGGTCACCGCACCCCTGGCCCTGCAGGACCCTGCGAGAGCCGGCGCTCTGGCTGGCCCCTGTCTGCTCGGACCCCCGTCTCCAGGCCCTCGAGGGTGAGGGGCGGCCGCCGCTCCGGGGCAGCGGGGGGGGGGCGGCGGGGGGGCGGCCCCGCACACCGCCGCCGCCGTGCCCTGCCAGGCGGGGGCAGGGGCCCCGAGCCCGCGCGGCGGCGGACCTGGGCTCCTGTGGGCGAGCCACGGGGGCGAGTGGGGGCCGATGGGCTGGCCGAGGCATCCCCCGGGGAGACTGCGCCACCTGGCGTGGCACAGTGATTCCCGTACCCAGGTCGCTCGCACCGACGTGCGCCACCCGGAGCCTTGCCGGGGGGGGGGGCTCCCGACAGCCCTGGCCAAGGGCGCACTTTTTCATTCGCGGCCACAGCGGGCGCTATCGGGGGGGAGAGGGGGAGGGGGCGGGAGGGGGCATAACGTAGCGCCACCCCTCTCCCCCGAGACTGTGGTGCTAGACGCACTGCGGCAATGTAGGGGACGCACTGAGGAGGAGGCGTTACGTTATTGGGGGGGTTGCGGGTGGCGTCCTCCACGGATCAATTATGACACGGTGCAGTGGTGGAAGCGGAGCTACTACAAGGTGGCGGACGGTCTGGCCAACTTCGTACTGGATATACGGCGAAAGTGGACGAAAAGATACGCACACCACATGTCCATTCAGGAGGCCACCTTTGTGACCCAGACGGACGGGGGCCTTCGTGACGGCGATTGTGCCGCGGCTGCTTGGATAAGTGGTTTTTGGGAGTAGCCTGCCAGTAGCCACCAGTATCAGTATGAACCTATCGCTGTGCACGGGACATGTCTCCATTTACCATGGACGGTTCTCGGAGCAGAGGCTATCGCATTGGACGAAGCGTCCATGGAGGTTACCGCTCTTCTTTCCCAACTGAGACAAGCGGCTAGCAGTTAGGTGTAAGTCGGGCGTGTCCCCCTACAGAGGAATGTTCGGGAAAAAGACACTCAACAAATACTCCAGAATGGTCAAAAATATTCCAACAATTGTCCCCAGACTATGTTTTGATTATCTTGAATACTCCTCCGGTAGAGGGACAGGCCCGACTCAAAGTTAGGCCTTGTAAGACCGCCACGAACCGAACACAACAGAACAGGGTAGGGGGCACAACGCGCGTTATGGCCCAGAGGGTCAACAAACACACTCTCCAACCGACGCGGACAGCCGCCGCCAAGCCAAGGTCACTCCTCAGCGTTATGGCCCAGAGGGTACACAAAAACACACTCTCCAACCGACGCGGACAGCCGCCGCCAAGCCGAGGACCCTTCTGGTCGGGCGAAAGGGGGGGATAGCAAAGGGGGGCTTGAGAATCAGCTCACATCAGCTGATTTGCCCGGCGCCTCCCGGCGCCGGAGGCGCCCACGGTATCGAGGAATGGGCCCCTCGGCGGGGCCGAAACCAGCGCGGCATGCAGCAAATTTCGTACCCCCCCCCCTTTCCCAATCCCCCCGCCTTTCGCCCAGTCCGAACCCCCCCTCGGCACGGCGGCGGGAGTGCGCGGGCCGTCGGCGAGCCCGGCGCCGCCCCCCGCGCGGTGCGCGCGCGGCCACCCCGTGGCCACGAGGCCGCGCGGCGGCCGTCGTTGGGCGCCCGAGAGGGGTAGGGAAAGGCCAGGGAAAGGGGCGTCCAAGAGGGGGGGGGGGCGGCCAGGGAGGGGGGCGTCCAGGAAGGCGGGGGCGCAAAGCATGGCCGGCGGCGGCGTCTGCGCGGCCCCGGGGGGGGACCAGGGACGCAACGAAATGAGAAGAGGCGCCATGACATCGACCTCGGCGGCCCCCGGCCGCCCGGGAGGCGCCCGCGGAGCACGGCCCGGGGGCCCCACGGCCGTGCGGCGGCCACGAGTAGCGCCCCGCCCGCTCCCCCGCGCGGCGCCCACCGCGCCGCCGGAGGGCCCCCGGGCCAGGAGCGCCCGAGGCGGCGAGCGAGGCGCCCGCCCCCGGGGCCTGCCATCGCTCGGGCGTCCATTACCTGTGTTTTTGTTCGGTTTCGTGCGAGGCTTTTTCGCCGAATGATCAAGGATGCTTCCTCGATGGTCCTCGGCGAAGGAAAAATGCACACGGCCGAGCGATGCCAAGTGGGGGAGGCCCGAGACTGACAGCGGCCAGGCGCTGAACAGCACATGGGCGGAGGCATGCAGCACGGCGTGAGATGCAAAGCGCGCCAGCGTGCAGCGCAACACGTGGAACACGGCAGAGCAGGCAGGGGAGGACGGTCAGGAACGGGTGGGATATCCGAACGACCAGCATTATGGCAGGATCTTGCGAACGGCCCAGGAGGCCCAAGAGAGAACAAAAAGCACCCAAAGAACCTGAAACTGGATCTTCATTCCCGGACACACTACTCCTCCGCCTGATCATCCCCTTCTTGTCACGTCACCAGGAAATCGTCAACGAGGAGACCCCAGAAGGCCCACAGGAGGGCGAAACGTTGCCGAAACACCTCGAGTAGATGCCTTCCTGTCTGCACACCACCCCATCTCCTCAACCCCATCCTCCTCCCCCTATTGGTACGCCCGAAGTGGGACGGAAAAGATGGTAGCGATGCCCGACTGCGAATGCGGTCCAAAACCGCCAGCGGCCGCTGTTGTGCCCGAGAGTTCAAGAGTTTGCCCAGGCGGGGTAACCTTCGCATTCGCACCAAAAGAAGTCCCTGTTGGCAATGTACAAGCACTGATGTCGGTCATCAGCCCCGTTGTCTTCGCCCCCATGTCGGTCCTTCTGACCCTTCTTCTTGAGGGGCAACGATTAGGGGGGCGGCCTGGGGGGGGGGCATCGAGCTGGAATCAGCGATGCATCGCCGACAGATCGGCGGATAGATCGGCGACAGGCTCCCGATAGCGAATCCGTACAGTCAGTCCTAGGCGGGGCGGACTATCGGGCTCCATATCGGCGATGGATGGGCGATCGGGGGTCGATGCATCCCCCCACTCTAAGACTATCTCCCCCTTAACGTTGCCCCTAAAACTCAAGTTTATGAAGCCACATAACGCACGCTATGTGGCTGGGTGGGTGGGTGGGCTCGCTGGCAAACAACATGGCACGTTGTGCGCGCACAACCAACCGCATACCTGCGCTCCAGACAGCAAGCGCTGCTGCAACGGGGGCGGGTGAAGCGGAGGGCGTTCTGTTCTCTACTAGACGGGCGGGTGGGTTGGAGGCCACGTAACGCGCGCCATGTGTTCGAGTAGAAAAACTTCAGCTCCTGACTCCTCCTCCTCCTCGGGACGGCGGAGGGGGCGACCAGGAGTGCCCGAATTTCGGGAGCAGCAGCAGGAACGCGTTCAGGGCTCCCAGCGAGCAGAGCCAGTCCCCCCACCCTGAGACTCCATCCCCCCCTGCCGGTGCCCCTGACTCCCCCTCCCCCCTCCGGGACCGGCGGGAGGGGGCGACCAGGAGTTCCCGAACAGCGGGACGAGCAGCAGGAAGGCGTTCAGGGTGCCCAGCGAGCAGAGCCAGTCCCCCTACCCTGAGACTCCATCCCCCCCTGCCGGTGCCCCTGGCTCCTCCTCCTCCCCCCCTCGGGGCCGGCGGGAGGGGGCGGCCAGGAGTTCCCGAACAGCGGGACGAGCAGCAGGAAGGCGTTCAGGGTGCCCAGCGAGCAGAGCCACTTGATGGTGCCTCGGCACGCCGCGCGCACCAGCGGAGCGCAGGCCGCGGCAGCGGCCAGAGCGCCTCCATCCTCATCGAGATCGCCAGATCAAGAGCTGACAGATCGCCAAATCGCCAAATCAAGTGGAAATCGCCAAATCCTCATCAAAATCCTCATCAAATCCTCATCAGAATGCTCATGGAATCGAGCTTCAAAATCCTCATCAAAATCACCAAATCAAATCAAAATCCCCATACGGAATGTTCGTGCGGCGTCGGCGCGCGCACTTGTTTTGATACATCGAGTCGATCGTTCAGCCTTGAGCCGGTCGCGGCCCCGCTCATTCAAAGCTGGATTCGGGCGGGTGCCGTGGCGTTACCGTGTCCATCGGTGCTTCCGCGTCGCAGAGTTCAACTTGGAACGCCTTCGCCGGCGTCGCTGGCGCGCCAACGCCGCATGAACCTACCATACAATAGGAGCTCGAGCACAAGAAGTCTTCCACAAGAAACCCACCCCTGAGACCCCCAGGACGTCCATCGAGTTCTGGTGTGAGAACGTCACGCTCACTCAGCAAAACCATCGAGACCCAGAACCCAAGGCACCCTGGAGGCATGCAGGATGCTCCTTGGCATGGTCACCGATGTACCCGCCAGTATCACTATCGAAGTCATCATCGTCATCACCACGATCACCGTCACCGTCCCCGCCACCTTACCCACCGGTCGGAAGAAGTAGATAGAAACCTGAAGCAGGAAGGCGTTGAAAGCAGACTGAGTTCCGTCCGCCCCCCGAGGAGGACGGAATAGGGAAGCCACTGGACCACAGAAGTAGGAAGGCGCTTAACAGTAGATTGGAAACTGGGAATCAAGAAATACCTACTTTCATCGACCGACGGGTCACCATCGTGATCCTACCAGCCTGGAACATATCCCCATACCCATCCTCGGCATCGCCTCATCACGACGGCGATCTTGGGGACTCCCTCAGTTTCTGAGATTGCATCCCTAAGATTGTCATCGCCTTTTGGTGTGTCATCACTTCGTTCGTTCGCAAGCCATGTCGCACGACGCATCGGCTCAGCAGGGGAAAAGTGCATGCCGCGCAGGAGAAGCGGCAGTGAGAGATTGCACCTAAGCATCTACCAGGTCAATGGAAAGACAGTATTGTTTAAGAATTGCTTTCCAAACTGCTTGCCCATGCAGTGCAAAACGAGGGCTCCTGAATAATAGGGATAAGTTCGAGGCTGGTGACGATCGCCCTCCTCTCCGCACGGGGACCCCGCGCGGGGCGCCCACGGCCTGGTGCCCGCCGACGAGCTCACGGGACCCGGCCGAGCACCCGAAATGCGCACAAGAGCCTCGAGTAGGAGGAGGAGGAGGAGGAGGAGGAGGAGGAGGAGGAGGAGAAAGAGGAGGAGGAGGAGAAAGAGGAGGAGGAGGAGGAGGAAAAGGAAGAGAAAAAGCACCGTTTGGGGAGCCTCGCTGGGCCCACGCTGGCCGCAGCACGGCCCGGGCGCGCCGGGAGCGGGTTCGGGGCCGCCTGCCCGGGTGTGCGCGCCTGCGTGTCCGTCCCCCCTTCTGCTTCCCAGGCGGACCCTGGCAGCCACGGTGCGCGCCATGACGAGAGAGGCAGGATACCACTCCTCCTCCTCCTCCTCCTCCTCCTCCTCCTCCTCCTCCTCCTCCTCCTCCTCCTACGGACAGAGAGAGAGAGAGAATCAAGAGAAAGGCAGGGGGGGCAACAAAAGGGATGAGCGAGACATGGATGAGACGGAGAAGAAACAGGAGGGAGGATGAGCGAGCCGAACGGACAGGTGGAGCAGGAGGACGGGCAGGAGGAGCAGGGAGGGAGTAGGAGGAGGAGCAGGAGGAGCAACAGCAGGGGGAAAGAATGAGGTTGGGCGTCAGGCTGGAGAAAAGAGCTGCCGCCTGCAGCCTTGGTGCCCTCGAACCGTTCGTAGGCGAGGAGCGAGTTTGACGAGAGGGCCGCGCCAGCCGCGCCGACTGGGGGGCGCGCTCTCTCGATCGATGAAGTCCTGTGGGCTGGCCCCGCGCTCCCCACACCTCGCACTCCTCCAGGCATCCTCAGCGTCGTGACGACGGTCATCCTCACCGTCATCGTCAACGTCGAAGCCGCCATCCCTGTCATATCCTCATCATCAGCATCATAGTCGTCGTCATCATCGCCATCACCATCAGCATCATCGTCGTCCTCGCCTTCGTCGTCGCGATCCCTCGTCCTCCACCTCCCAATCAACATCATCGTCTCCTCTCTCCATCACTGTTCTCCTCATCTGCTGCCTTTGCCTCCGCGTCATCTTTATCGTTATCATCTCCCCCTCCCTATCATCATCCTCGTCATTTTCCTCCTGTATACATCCTCCTTCCAATCAGCATCCCTTACTCCTCATTATCCTCCCTCTATTTCTTCGATCCCCCTCCTCCCACTCACTCTCTCTCTCTCTATCACTCTCTCTCTCTCCCTCTCTCTCTCACACTCTCTCTCTTCATCTCTCCCTCTCTCTCATTATCTTTCTCTCTCTCTCTCTCTTGGTATAGATATGTCTTTCTCTGTCTCTCTCTCTCTCTATCCCTGTCGGGGTATACATCCACCACCGTCCCACAGGCACTGAGTGAAGTGTCTTCAGTTCCCCTCGAGCTCTCCGTACTTCGTCATCTGAGTTTCTATCTTCATAATCATCAACATCGCGATTGTAACCCCCGATCAGCATCATCAGCACCAGCATCAGCAGAATCAGCAACATCCTAATCAGCATCAGCAGCAGCAGCATCATAAGCATCATCATCATCAGCAACCTCATCATCGTCGTCACCAACATCATCATCACCATCATCATCATCAGCAGCAGCAGCATCATAAGCATCATCAACACCGTCAGCATCATCATGATTAGCATCACCATCATCATCAGCAGCATCATCATAACCATCATCATCAGCAGCATCAGCATCCTCATCATCATCATCCTCATCAGCATACACATCACTGTTATTATCATCCTCGCCATCAGCAGCAGCACCATTGGCATCTTCATCAAAACCAGCAGCGTCGAAAGCACAAGCATCACCAGCATCGTCATCATCATCATCATCATCATCATCATCATCATCATCATCATCATCATCATCATCGGAGGTTGGGGGGTGAGATCGCTGTGGAACGGAGAGCCCCCCACCAGGAAATCGCTTTCGGTGTCGTGTTCGTATCGTGCGTGCGGGAGAGGCGAAGCTGCGTGGGCGCGCGACAGGAATGATGCCGCCATGGCTAGGGGCCGTGGAACCGATTGACCGCCCCCCCGCCCGGCGGGTGGGTGCACCAGTGCCCAAGGTGCCTTGTCGGTGGCGCGGGCGCGGGGTGCCCTGTCGGCCGCGGGGTGTGTCTCGACGGTGGCTCAGGGTGTCCCGCCGTGTCTCGATGGTAGCTCGCGAGATCAGCTGTGAGATCGATAGTGTTATCGATAGTAAGAGCGATTGCGTGATCGATCGTGAGCGTGAGATCGATCGTGATATAGCGAGATCGAGAGTGAGAACGATCACGAGATCGATCACAACAGATCTTTGTTTGGGGGTGCCTCGCCGTGGCTGGGGTGCCCCATGTGAGCGTTTTATTTTTCGGAGTTTCGACATTGGGCGGAAGGGGGAGGAGGGGGGGTTCTGGCTCCGGACCTCTGCTTGCTGCGACTGTTTGCAGCAGAGCGTCATGTGGGGGAGACTCCACCTGCTTGAGACAGGCGCCAAACAAAGACAAGATCTGCTCCATGGGGGGGAGAGGGGGGGTGCGAGGGCCCGCGCCGATCGGCGAAACAATGAATAAGAAAACGATCACCATCGTGGTGTCGCGATGGTGTCTCGTGAGATTCCTTGTTAGGTCGATGGTGAGATGTCTTGTGCGATCGATATTGAAATCAATAGTTAGATCGATAGTGAGATCGATATCGAGAGCGACAGTGATATCGATGATGAGATCTACTTTGAAATTCGTTGTGAGATCGATAATGAGATCTGATGTAAGATCGACAGTGAGATCCGTCGGGGGCGAAACTCGTCACCATATTGTATGGTGTGGTGGCATCTATTTGGCCCGCGGGTGTTTCGATGTCCCGAGATTGCCCCGATGGTGTCCCGCTCGTTCGTGAGATCGTTCGTGAAATCTGTTACGAGGTCGATAGTCAGATCGAACGTGAAACAGTGTGAGGCCGATAGTCCGATCGATAGTGAGATCGATAGTACGATCGATAGTGCGATCGATAGTGAAACCACTAGTGGGATCAATCGGTTGGACTCGATTGCGAGGTCGCATTTATGTGTTGTGACCTCCACCGCGGCAGTGTCGCCTTCATTAGAATCACCGTTCTTGATTCTCACCATCAGCGTCATCGTGCAATGTCGCCATCGCATCGCCATCAGTCATCGCAGTTGTTGTCAGTGGGTGTTACGTGCCCAGCAACCTCATTATCAACCGAAGGGTGGTCGTACAGGTAATCATCATCGTCATCACCACCACCATGTGTCCCCGCCCCCGCCACCCTCGCCAAGAGACCGCCCTGGCGCATCTGCACGCGAACTGAATCCCAGCAGTCTGCTGGGGGTAGCTAGTTTAGAGCGCCACCTCCTCTAAAACAAGCATGACTCCCCCTTCGAGGAGAGGGGTAGCCACCCCGTTACGGTCTGGACGGGAGGGCCGCGGAGGGCCAGAGGCCAAAGATGGGCCTCGGTGGCTGCAGGACGAAACCGAGTACCCCAAGATTGCCTCCGAAGTGGATCAGGATGGCTCGGATCCCCTCCGTCATGGCTCGGAGATGCAGCAAGAAAGCCCCAGGATGCCCCCATAATTAGCCCAAGCGTCCCCAGCGATGCCCCAGAAAGGCCCGGGTCAGTGAAATCGCCGCAAGCTTTCGACGCTGCTTCACCGAACACGATCGTGGTTGCGGTCGCCGTCGCCGGCATGGGGTCATCGTCGTGGTCGTGATCGTCGTCGTCGTGGTCGCCGCAGTTGTCGCCATCGTGGTCGTGGTGGTCGTAGTCGTCGCCGTCGTGGTCGCCGCCGTGGTCGTCGCCACCGTCGACGTCGTCGCCGTCGTCCCCGTGGTCACCGTGGTCACCGTCGTCGTCGCCGCCACCGCCGCCGTCGTCGTCGTCGTCGCCGTCGTTGTCGTCGTCATCAACGTCCTCGTCGTCACCGTCGTTGTCGTGATCTCGCCGTCGTCGTTCGCCACGCGACCGCCGCCGCGGAGAAGCCGGCCGGCGCCTGCTTCTCCTTCTGGGTCCTCATGATCGTGCGCATCTCGGCCCTGGAGCGCGCGCTGGCGCTCGCCAGTGGGAGGGGGAGGAAGGAGGGCGAGGAGGCCGGACGGCCGCAGGCCGACGACGCTCGGTCGTGCTGTCGTCCCCGGGAGTGCAGGGCATCGAAGGCACCGTGTGCGCCCACGCTCTCTGTTGGCAGGGACCGACCGTCCCGGCATTCCTATAGGCCTACCACGAAATGTTCTTAGAACCCAAAATATGTTCCAAGAACAGAAACAGTGTTCTTAGAACAGAAACCCAATGTGCTAAAACAAAACAAACTCAACCAGAAACGTTCCAAGAACATTCTGTCGAAACCACAAGAAGGTTTTTAAAACATTTGTTGGTGGGCCTCTAGGCACGCCCGGACGCTTCGCCACTCCTTGACTCTGAGAGCACACGACGCGACACACGAAGCCGCGCGACAGCACGACGCGCGACAGCGACGGGAAAGGCGCGCGCCGGCGGGCCCCCCGCGGGCGGGGCCGCGGCGGGCGGGCGGGCGGGGCCGCGGCCGGAGCGGGCGGGCGGGCGGGGGCGCCTCTCCGCCTTGCGTTCGGCCTCCTGGGGCGCCGGACGGAGGGCCAGGGAGGGAGGGCAGAGGGGAGGGGGGGAGGAGAAGGGGAAGGAGGAGGGGGAGGAGGAGGAGGAGGAAGAGGAGGAGGAAGAGGAGGAGGAGGAGGAGGAGGAAAAGGAGGAAGAGGAGGAGGATGAGGAGGGGGGAGGAGGGGGGGGAGGAGGAGGGAGAGAAGAGGGAGAAGGGGAAAGTGAGGAAAAAGGCGGGGAGGGGGGGAAGGGAAAGAGACGGACGAGTGGGGGGAAGGGAAGGGGGACGAGGGAGAACGGAGGAGAGAGAACGGAGGATTGGATTGGACACTTCGAAAGCAAGGCTGGGCCGTCCAACAACGAAGGTAAAAAAAAACATACCATGCACCGCCCAGCCGCAGAAGGCCCGCCAAGAAACATGCCAGAAAAACCAACCTACGAGGGAAGAGGGAGGAGGAGGAGGAGAAACTAGAACTGCGGGCCTCGGAAGCTGTACAAGAGACAAAACGTGGCGGCAAAAAACAAATTCGTTGGTTGTAACGTGTATCTCTTCCGTACGTTGTACCGGCACGCGCCGGCGCTGAAGCCAAACGGCGGCACAGCATCCTATTTGAGTCGGGGTTGAGCCTAGACGCTCCGCGGCAGGCCCTCCTCTGGCCGCTTGCAACAGGGCGAAGCCCCAGTCCGTGCACACCCGCACGCCGAACTGAAGGCACGGGCCGTCTTCGGACGCTGCTGAGCCTCCAGAGAGCTCCAGGAGAGCCCCAAGAGGGCCCAAGAGGCCCGCAGGAGGCCCCCATGCCCCCAGCAGGCGCCAAGAGGCAACCAAGAGGCACCTCAGAAAAGCTCCTAGAACCCCCCCAGAGCCAGCAAGAGGCCCCCGAGACGCCCCGAGGCCTATTAGAGACCGCCAGAAAAGACACCCCAGGAGATCCGAGGAAGCATTCGAGGGGCCTCTGGCTCACGGAGGCTCCACGACGTATCACGAGAAGGGCAGATACCGCGATAAGGACAGACACCCTGGGCAGCGCTCCTGGATGGACTGATGGGGATACTTGCCGCAAGCGGACAGCCGCGCGGCGTCGTGAAGTCGTGCGAAGAGTGCAAGCCAGTGCAAGAGCCCAGCGCGACAGTGGCGGGGGAGAACGACGAAAGGGGGGAGAAACGAAAACTAACGCAGCGCCGCTCAGAGGCGGAGGACCGAACCCGTGAACGCCAGGGACACGTCATCCTCCAGGTTCATGCGGCTGGTGCGGATACGCGAAGGGTTAAAAATATCGAATATCCCGGGCCCCAGACCCGCAATCGCCAGATGTCTTTATGTGCGTCGCAGATATGTTGGGGCTTCTCGCGTGACTTGTCTTGAAGCCAGGTGGCCCCAAGACAACCAGAGAGGGCCCCAGAAGGGCCCCGAGACGGCTCAAGAGCGCTCCAAGACGCCCCAAGATGGACCCAAGTCGGTCCAAGGGGCCCCCTAGACACCTCAAAGGGGCTCCAAGAGGCCGTCCAAGAGAGCTCCCAGAAGCAAGCTCATTGATGTGGCCTTGATGCCCGAAGAATGTTTACGGCATGGCATAACCGTCTCAGGCCTCCGACGCTCCAAAACGTCCGAAGAGGACTCCAAGAGCACCCCAAGATAGCCCAAAGAGGCCGCCGAGGAGGTCCCAAGATGGCCCAAGAGGGCTCAAAAGACAGAGGCATCCAAAGCGGCCCAAGAAAGAGAATATGAAATGACACGTTGAGCCCCCCGCCCCAGGCGACCCCCGAGACCGCCGGCAGGCCCCGAAGAAGCCCCAGGAGACCTCCAAGAGGCCCGAGAGAGGCCCCAAGAGGCCACAGAGGCACCAAACCCCGAAGGCGCCTCTCCAAGGAGTTTCCGAAAGGCTTCCCCAGAGGTCCCAGCAGGGCATCCCACGAGGCCTCCGACCTACGACCGAGAGAGACACGGCCGCGGGACGGCTGGAGAGCCACCCGATGGCCAAACTGGTTGCCTCCGAATCAGTGGTTCCACGCAGGGGCTCTCACGCCGTCTCTGCGGCGCTGGGCACTGATTGTCGGTCTGGCGGCTGTGCTGTCGCCGTCAGCGCCCCGTCGCCGCCTCGTCGCCGCGCGTCGTCTGGGCCCGATTGTCGGTCTGGCGGCCAGGTTGTCGTCGTCGCCGCCCCGGCGCCGCCTCGTCGCGGCCTCGCATGATTGCACCACGTTCATTGCAACACGTCGATTGCACCACATACATTGCACTATAGGCTCACATCATGAGTATTGTTGCACGGCATAGATCGCAACACGCATAGTGCATCACCTTCATCGCACGGCATTTGCCTCATCATATGCATTGCCCCACACATACTGCACCACCTACATCGCATCGCCTATATGTCAGCACCTGGGTTGCACAATATAGATCGCACCGCATATAGTGCACAGCATAGATCGCACAACATAGATTGCACAACGTAGATCACACAACATAGCTTGCGTCATCTACATTGCACCACCTAGATTGCACCGCATAGATTGCACCTCGAGTGCGTAACCTAAATTGCACAATATTGATCGCACAACATGCATTGCACCACCTAGATAGTGCACCACACTGGTTGCACAACCTATAGCGCCCCACAAATATTACTACACAACCTTGACTGCTAGAATCGCTCTGTTAGGGGTCCTGGCTGGAGAGTATATGTATATATCTAAAGGTATGGAAAGAGAGAGGGAGAAGGAGAAGGACAAAGAGGGAGAGAGAGAGAGGGAGACGGAGAGCGCTCACGACAAAAGAGAGAGAGAGAGAGAGAGAAAAACAAAAAAAAAAAAAACAACGAGAGAGCGCGACGTAAACATAGATGCAGGGGGGAGACATAAGAAGAGAGAGAGAGAGAGGGAAACAATAAAAGACGAGACTAGAGAAAGAGAGAGAGAGAGAGAAAGAGAGATATGGGGGTCGTGCCGACGGTCCGTTTGCCAGGGCAGCGCGCCCTTCTTCCCCGTCTCCTGCTTCCTGGCCAGGGCGCGGCGGCTTCCAGTCGCATTTCCCCCATCCTCCCTCTACTCCTCGACTGCCCCCTCCTCGACTGCTTCCCCCTCCTCCTGGTATGATTCGTCCCCACTTCATTCCCTCTCCTCGCCAATTTTTTTTTCTAGGAAACCTCCTTTTTCACAGCCCCAGACGTGACGTTAGGCGAGTCGGGCGTTTCGCCTGAGTCTTCCAAATCCCTTATCAGCATGGGTTTGGATTTTGAAATACATACACGGATGGAAAGCGTGTGTACAATTTGGGGTTCCCGCCCTGGCGACGCCCACCTTCGTCCAACAAGTCTGCCACTGTGACGCGGACGGAACATACGTCGTTTTCAAAATGGAGCGTCGCTGTAACGCCGCGCGCACTCGTCTCAAAAATTTGCAGCTGATACGAAAATGTGTTGCGATGCTTTCTCAGAAACGGAATTCTCGCCTCAGCGCCGCGAGCGTTCGTCATGAACGTCTACAACAGCTATTCGGCTAGAGGGCGGCTCAATTTCAAATGAGGCTCTCGCCTCAGCGCCGCGCGCATTACTCATAAAAGCGGACAGGTCTGCCGACCCAGCCGGCGTTCGTGAAGGACTGTTCGACACTATACCAGCCCAACCCAAACTGAAGTACGCTAGCCTCCTTTGAATCGTCGTCGCCGTAAGAGCGATAGAACAAATAAGGGGGATCGAATAATGCCGAAATTACTTCGGAGGGAAGCCCATTCCCGTTGTCCCTTCCCCGCCACCGGGGCGGGGGGACCACGGGAGGGGTCCAGGGGGGGTCCGAGGGGGGGTCCTGGAACAGGTCCCGGGAGTCGTGACCCCACCCCGGGCGACCCGACTTGCGGAGAAGGGGGACGGACAGTGGGGGGTCTCCGTCTGCAATTGAACTCAGGGCCCCTCCCCCCGCCTCGGTCCCGGCTGCGGCCCCGGCACCGGCCCCAGCCCTAGCCCCGGCCCGCCCCCGAAGAGACACACTGCTTTTCTCCTCCTCCTCCTCCTCCTCCTCCTCCTCCTCCTCCTCCTCCTGCTCCTCCTTTCAAGACTTTTCAATATCGAATATATACCGCTATCTAACGGCGTACCCGTTCACAAGATGTCGTTCAGGTGGTTGCCGAACTCGCTGAACTCGTCCTCACCCCCACTGGGCCTAACCTCTCGCCCTGCAGGGGTGGGCTGCGCCATCCACCCTACCCCCTCGTCCCGCTGGGGGGACGAAGATGATCCATTTAAAGGTGTAGCCGTGCACGGCGCACGCGACCTTGTCGAACTCGCTGAACTCGTCCTCGCCGCACGGAGCCTCGCGGTCGGTGCGAACGACACCCTGCGTCTCGCCTGCTGCTTTGCTTCGCCGCCCGCTTCGGCTGCCGCCGTTTCTCGCACGATGGACTCGCAGGCTTCGCCACTACTCGTGGCCGCTGCCTGTTCTCGCAACTCCCGCCCTGTAGCAGATGACGTGCGGGCTCCCAGCTTTGCGCCAGTGCCCGCTGCCTCTGCTGCTTCTGGCACGTCCCTTCCTGTAGCTGACGTTGTCGGGATGGGCGTCTCTTCTCGCACTGGTATGTCCCAGCTTGCTGATGACGACTGCGCGGTCTCTAAGGTATCCTGCTCGCTCTCGTGGGTGCGCTCCTCCGTGCGGCGCTCGGACTCGTCGCCCTCGTCGTCGTCTCCTTCGCTGTCTTGGTCGCGGGCGCATTCGAGGTCTTCGAGCATGCGAACCGCGTCTTCGAAACGGGAGTCGCTAACCTTGTCTGACGCGCACAGGGAGATCGTGGGAACCGTTGCGGATGCGCTGGGGCACACTCGCACTCCCGTCTCCCGCTCTACAAACCGTATGTGTTGCCTCACCTTGTCAAAGATGCTGTCCGCGTCGGCGCACTCGAAAGAGTTGGGGGGACGGCTCCCTTCAGACAGTTGCCGCAGCTGGGCTTGTAGCTGATGGCGCCCTGGTGCCTAACATTTCGCCCGCTACCACTGCGTTTCCGAAGTGCGACCGTTCTCGCACACGTGAGTCCCAGGCCGTAGCTGATGGTGTCTGGGCGTCCAGCCTGTGCCTGTGCCCGCTGCCACTGCCGTCTCCTCTCGCACACGAGCTTCTCCGCCTGTACTTGCGCGTCCCTGCTGAGCGCCACTGCCCACTAGCGCTGCCTCTGTAGCTGACATCGGCTGAGCGGCCTTCGTCGCAGCACTCTGTTTCTCGCTTTGTGCACTATCAAGTTCGTCTGGCACTTTTCGCGCACTCGGGTTCTGGCTTGTGCCTTCGCCCTCCCGCATCACAGTGTCCCAGCCTGCAGCTGATAACGCTCCTTCTGGCACGCATGCATCTCAGACTGTAGCTATGACGGGTTGCCTCCCAGTCTCGCTGCGCTGCCTGCTGCCACTGGCTCTTCTCTCACGCGCATGCCCCAGCCCGTAGCTGGTGACGGTTGGTTTTCCTGCTTAGCGCCTCTGCCCGCTAGCGCTGCCTCTAGTCGCACACGCCAACCCCCGACTGTAGCTGATGACATGTAGCCTCCCAGCATCGCCCCACCGCCTGCTGCCGACGGCTCTTCTCGCACACGCGCGTCCCCAACCGTAGGTGACGGCGCACTGTCCCCAGTTCTGGCACCACTGCCTGCCGACGCACCAGTGCACGCTGACTTTGCAGCCACCTCTCACACTCGTGCACTCCAGCCAGTAGCCGATGACGTCTGGGTTTTCGTCCTCGCGCCGCTGGCCGCTACCACTGCCTCTTCTCGCGCAAATGTAGCTGATGCTGTTCGGTTCCTATCTGCCTCCTCTCGGCCTTTCCGATGCCAGCTCGTCCCGCACGAGTGGGATTATCTTGCTGGCTGATGCGCTTGAGCCAAGATGGTGGGTTTGAGCCAAGCATGTTTCTGAGTCGCGTGCCGTATCTGTGTAAGCATCGCAAGGATCATTGCACTATGTCTAGACGTTTCCTGTTCCAGCCAAATGGCCCACTCTCGCAGCTAATCCAAACTCTGGACTCCATCATTTTTGCAACCCGCTTTCTCCATGGCCCAAATTATCGATGTCTGAACTGTCCACAAGGCTGTCTGATCGCCGACTGTAGGCCAGAATATGTGCACTCCGACGGGGCGTGTAAATGGGCGCTTCGGCACGCAGCATGGAATCGCCTTTTGCCCCATGCCGCAACGCCTTGAGTTCGACCAAAATCCGCCGCACTGCCGCCACCATCTCCCAGAGCATCAGCAGCGGAGGCTCTCGGTCTGCATCGTGTTCTGGGAGTTGCTGCGCCTGTAGCCCGATACATTCTCGCAGACTGAAGGTGGCCACTACTGCTTGGCGCACTGCAGCGCGTTCGATTATCAGATGTACTCTCTTTGCCCGCGAAGCGAGCGCGGTCTCTGCAGCCGCGCATGGGTTTCGAGGGATGTCCCCAGAATCTCGAAGCGAGGCCCTGAACGGCGCGACCGGTGCATGCCACTTCGAAAGATCCATGACGGCGCGCCCACCCGCGTCAGTCGTCCTGCGGGCGGGGCGCGTGGGGCCGGCCCGCGCCCCCCCCGCGCGAGGGGGCCCGATTCGGGCCCAGGATGGCCCTCCTCCTCCTCCTCCACCTCCTCCTCCTCCTCCTCCTCCACCCTCCTCCTTCTCCTCCTCCTCCCCCTCCTCCTCCTCCCCCTCCTCTCCTCGTTTCCTCCTCCTCCTCCTCCTCATCATCATCATCATCGGCAACATCCTCTTCCTCCTTCCTCCTCCATCTCTTCCTCCATATCCTCCTCCTCCTCCTCCTGCTCCTCCTCCTCGTCCTCCTCCTCTCCTTCTCCTACTACTCCTCCTCCTAATAGTACTACCACCACCACCACCACAACTACCACCACTACTACTACGACTACTACCACCACCACCACCACCACCACCACCACCACCACCACCACCACTACTT